TGGCCAAACGGGAAGAGATGCTCCCCCTCCCTTCCCTCCCTTTACTTCCTCAGGATGGCCATTGCTTTCTGAAACTGATGTGCAGAGCTGAGTTAAAACATCTGCCACGTATTTTCTCAACAGTTTGGCCACTTACACTAATGGTTAATAGGTGGTGTCATACCCTTCTCGGCCTTTTGGCTGAGATCAAGTGTAGTATCTGCTGCTCTGATCAGTTTAATATCTGATCCGTGGTCCATCGGGCCATGTGATATTAAATTAGATTTTCAGGGCTGCGGACGGGTCACAGGAGTAGGCTCGACCCTTCCAACCTTGCCTTCGTATTGCACTGCAGCGGAGTGCGGCCCATCCCCAACCCGGGAAACAAAAAAACAAAAAGAAGAAGTGAAAAACGGTGGTGTCATTTTTGGCAAAATTTTCACCGAAACTGCCACATTTCCCTAAATTTTTTGCTTTTTTTTTTTTGTGTGTGTGATATGTATGTGCTTTAGCTAGGCTACCAGCCGGGCCGCCCGGGTCCCCCGGGTTCCGGGTGGCCATCCCGTGCAAGGACTAGGGAAGGTCCCAGCAACAAAAAAAAAAAAAAAAAAAAATCCGAAAAAAAAAATGTTATGCAGAAAAATAAACTGAACAACTTTTGCCTCAAGGTCACGTTGAAATTCTTCACCAAATGTAGGATAAAAAAAAAATAAAAAAAAATATATATACTTTTTTGGCCCGGCCGGGCAAGTGACCCCGGGCCACTCTGGTAGCCTAGTGCTTTAGGGTATATCTGTATTCAGTTTCGACGTATTTGGGCAAGTAACGAAAAAGTGGGCAAAAACACCGAATTTGGAGAAAAAATTGGAGAACTTCAAAATCTAGTCCGAATAGCTTTTGAATTTTTTATTATTTCTTTTTGCCTGTTTTGTTTCTTTGATGTCTGTATTATGAGCCTGCGTTGTTTGTTCTTGAAATTTTGAATGACATTGCTTGCTTGTGGCGAACCCCCCACTAACCCGGAAAGGAAATAAGGACTACTAACCCGGAAAGGGAAATAAGGACTACTGACCAGGAAAGGGAAATAAGGACTAACCTGGAAAGGGAAATAAGGACTCCAACATACTGGGTTCAAACCAAAAAGGGAGTAAGGACTAACCCGGAAAACAGTGGGAAATTAAGGAAACGAATTGTTCACACGATACTGGGCAACACCAAAATAGTGGAGAATCTGGAGATACGTCAACAGCGTTTATTAAAATTCAACTGGAACACTGTGGTGGTTGATTCCTCGACATGTTTACTGCGGCAGCAAGGAGAGCGAAAGCTCGACTCACAGTATGCCGTGTTCAGAAACTGTTGCCATAGACCAGCCCTAAAAGCTTCCCGATGTCCTTCGGGACATCCGTTAAAGTTAGAACGATACAGAGAAGATTAGCATGACCCCTGTGCAAGGATGACACGCATAAATCGAGAAATGGTCCATATTTTTTTCAAAAATAAATAAATAAATAAAATAAAAGCTTCCCGACCTGGCCATGTGAAAAGAAGGAAGAGGGAGTTGTGGCTATTTGGGCCCCTCGCCACACCACTGTGGAAAGCATCAAAATCTCGACGGCTGTCATCATAAGAAAAATTGACAGCCGCCGTTAACATCTCAAAGGTTGTCATAAGAAATTCGACGGCCGCCGCTTTCGACAGTTTCCCCACGGTTTGCCACACAGCACAGTTGAAGTGACTACCGTCTTCCCCCGAACATAACGCACCCTGATCATGAATGTATAGAAGCTATCTTTCCGGTCTGGAACAGGCAAAATGAGGGTGCGTTATGTTCGGGGGAAGACGTAGCTCATGAATGCAAGTACAAAAGAGACAAACCCGCGTGAGGATAGGACAAGTACACCATGATCCCAACCTCAGTCGCAGTCACCAAAAGCAGAAGGAGAACTCAATTGCTCGATCATGGAGGACTGTTGATTATGTCCCAAGTCGCGTGCTGGGGACTAGTGATTTTTTTTGGTAGGACAAGTACTCTGTGGGGCCAACCTCAGTCACACTCACCAAAGTAGAAGGAGAACTCAATTGCTCGATGGAGGACTGTTGAAAATGTCCAAGTCGTGTGCTGGGGATGCAGCCTCGACTCGGATTTCAACATGCTGTGTGGCGAAGATCAACGGTCGGAAATCCTTTTGGGGACAGTGGTGTGAATTTTTTTTCTTCCCCCTTTCTCGTTGAAGGAATCTCCCCCTCCCCCTTGGTGATCTGGAGGAGGGTCAAGAGGCAGAGCAGTGACTGCAACAGGGACAGTTGTCTTAGCAGTTACAGAAAAGACTTTCGATCGGACGACCAACAAAAAGTTGAAGATACTGAGTGTCGGCGTGAAGGGACAATCATCTTCAATAGGGACAAACCACAGGAAACGTCCTTTAGGGCATCCGTTAAAATTGGAACGATACAGAGAAAGAAGATTAGCATGGCCCCTGCACAAGGATGACACGCATAAATCGAGAAATGGTCTAATTTTTTTTAACAAAAAAAAAAAAAAAAAAGAAACACATAAAACGACTGGGGAGGATGTATGCGCTCCTCTACCGACGCGTCCTCCGCCGACGGAACCTCACTCACAGCCCAGACTTGACCCCAAGCAGCTTCATGGGTGGTAACACTAGGGTAGGACAGGGGGGGTGGGGGTGCAGCAGGGCAAAAAGATGAGAGGAAGGGTGGGTGGGGGGTTCTTCAGAAGGGGTTCATCTGGAAAACCGAGTGGCTGAGTACTGTGGGTGACCGCCATCTGTCTAGTATCCCACGTCTACAACAACCTGGGCTTCGGCCTGTTGGTCTATTGGCGGGCCAAGACAGCGGGGKTGCAATGAATGCTCCATAGAACGTTGGGGTCAGTCCCAATAGCTGTTTTCTCAATTCGGCGGTGTCAACTCTTTGCAAACAGGTATAGCTTATTATTATTTTTTTTTCTTTTTCTTTTTTCGGTGTCATCTGCTGGCACGAGGTATAGCACTTGAGTTTCATGGTAGGCTGGTACCAGTACCCCGAGATTTTTCTTTTCAGCCTGTCACTGTATAACAGTCAGGCTCAGAAAAAAGAGCAACCTTTGGTTCGTCAATTTAGCGTCGTGTGAACTGGCGGCCTAAGTTTACGGCGACATTGTATGTGCAAGGAGGGCAGTGACCAACAGGAATCCTCACCCACCGCAATGTACAGACTAAGTAGTGGGTGGCCAACCCGATCACAAATTATTTATGGCCGCAAACAGGGCAACTTCTGTTGAAAACCCATCAGGTCGCAGCAGGCCGGCCTCCCTTCTGAGGCCACGCAGTCTGATTGTCTCTGTCGTGCTGCTGAAAGCTTGGTGTGATCTGCACAAGCATGCGTG